ACCGGGGGCGGGGGCGCTCTCTCTATTCTTTTTCGCGCAATTTCGCCCGAACGGGCCGAACCGTGCCGGATTATCCCGCGGATACTTACGACGACGGATCTTCGCGACATTGGGGCTGCTGGCGAGAAAGGGGCGAGAAGGTGATAGGGCACGCGCCGACCGCGAACCTGTCCTCGGCGGGACTTCAACGGGAAGCCAGATCGATGGGTAATTATACGGCAGATACGAACGGTTACGAATCACGGAATCACGCGATTTTTCCCACCACCCGCCCACCCGTTTTCGCACCCACGTCGACGAGGGGGTGGCGTTTGTTACGCTCGCGCCTGTTATCGCCGATGATGCTCGGCGCTTTAATATCCGTCGATGCGTTCGATGGCGTGACATAGCGGGGAGATACGTCAGACGAGTGGGAAACTGTAATTGTACGCTCGGCAATTGTAATCGAACCGGCTTTCCGCGGATGTCCGGTTTAAGACCTGGAAATGATATTCGAAGGTTCGGCTCTTCGAGATTTTGTGCCTCCGAATAATTCGACTTCGAATATTCGAGCTTCGTCGCCGGAAGTCGAATTATACTGGGATCGTGTCGAATAATACTACTCCTAGTCCGATCGTGTGTTTCCTATATGCGAAACAGCGACTGGTCGTTGCTGGGATTACGTTGCAAAATAAACGCACAGCCGTGTCGCGGCGCGGTGGAAAATCGAGTTTTCGATTATAAACGCTCGTTACTGGAATTTCTGTGAGAAATATTTAGCGACCGTCCCGTTGCAAGTTCCCGCTGCTGATTACCGATTTGGTTTGTAAATGTCACTGCGTACCGCGCGCGGGAACACGACGCGACGGTATACTTTGCAAAGTTCGGCTGTACCAGAGGCGGTAAGTTCCGACATTTAAGTTCGACGTGTTCCGTGTCGTCGCGGAATTATACATTCAAATAACCGTGCCGAGATACGTGTTAGGGCATTATATTTAAACTATTCACGCTGTGTGCGTGCGCGTGTATACACGAGACGATTAATATCGCGGTTACATCTCACCTTACGGCGAAAATTTCTCATGCGGATTACCTTTTCGTCGCCTTGACCCTTAATCTTCCCCGCACTTAATTAAAAACCTCGAATTATGTTATTCTTGTTAACATCTCCCGGGGTATATTCAATCGCCCTACGTGACTCCGAATTATGCGCGCGGAATGAATAATCCAGACGGAACCCATTTTATATTCCGTATAAATATACGGCCATCCAAATTGCGCGCAAAATTGCTCCCGATATCAAAGAATGTTCATATTAAAATATTCCGCGGTGCCACCTCGATTGAAATGTCAGCGGTACACGAAATATATGCAAATTTCGTCGAAACATTCAAACGGTGCCGCTGGTTCATGGCGTATTTTCCCTGCCGGCCGGATACGCGCCTCCTGTCACCTGAAAAAAACTCCACTCGCCCCATCTGCGGCGCGGCGCTCAGGTGGAAACTGCGCGCAATTTTCTTGGCTCGCTGGGAATTCCGCGTCGCGCCGCGACCGAACTTCCGAAGTGTCGTACGGAATTACGCGAACGCGAGCATCGGGCATTTCGACTTGAGAAAGGGAGACAAAGTAGAAGGGAGCAAACAAACACGGACGCTCTTCCAGCGATGAAGATTTTGCATCCTCGTTACGATTTCTACGCGGTAATCATTATTATTATATCTTGTATTAATAATTATTATTATATTATATTATAATCGACACGATTAAATGAGAATACGGTTATTTCTCGGTCGAAATTTGGTGTCTCGTCATGGATGTTCGGGAAAACACCGCTACACGTATCGATCATCATCATCACGGTCGCCAAATATTTCCTGCTTTTTCACGCGTCAGTCAGCCTCTCGAGTTTACAGGACATACGCACGATGTTCTCGCAGGAAATCGAAATGTGGCAATCAGATGGCGTGTCGTGCGCCGAACGAATAACGACAGATCCCTTTGACGGTCTTCCCGTCTGTATTGTTAGACGAGAGGCTCAGGTGGACTATCCCTTGTACCCTCTTATTCTTTGCATTCCTATTTCTTACATCTAAATAAGGCCATCGCTCACGGTCCATTAAAACTTGCCAATCTAATCTGTGTGAACGTCTACCTCGACATTTACGCGCTCACAAGACGGTATGTGTGTGTGTGTGTGTGTGTGTGTATGTATGTGTGGGGGAAAAAGAAAGAGAGGAAAAAGAACGATTATAATTTATAGAATACGCGAGATGCGCGCACACCAGCGGGAAGATTAACGAGCGGATAATTTAGACGGATCAGTTCGTTATTAATTAACCATTCACGAGTATTGCCTAATCAATGAACTGCTTACCTACGCGTGCGCTCAATAATACAAAATCCACGCGAAAATTAATTAACCTCGGCACGGAATGCGAGTCTGAGGAAGAAGCGCGCGGGCGCGAGCTTCCTCACCTGCAACATATTATCCGCTTTTGCGCTGCACGAGTCAACACTCGCGATTCCATAAATTATTCCGCCACATGTTACACCGTAGAGCAGTCGATGTTACGACATGAAGCGTCACGTATTACGACGTCGTGCGTCACGCGCCGTCTTAGGCAGACAGAGAGAGAGAGAGAGAAGAAGGAATGCTGAAAGTTCCGGAATGATGGAACAGGTTTACAACAGAGTATTCTATTCACGTTTCTGAGGCGGATTTATCACGCTTGTATTTGATGTTGGTGCAAGCATTCAACTCGGAATTTATTAGTGAAAATAGATCACTTCGGAAAAAGAAAGGTATTTTTACCGTTAAATTTCAATACGAGCAGCTGTTATTTAATCATATCTATGCAACGATGATTGATGTGTATTAGTAGAAAATAAGTCGTTTTAACTCAAGAAGTCGTTTTAACACAAGAAGGTTAAAGGTCATTTCGCCTCATAAGCGTTGCATTTATCTAGTCGATGAATCGAACGAAGCGAGAGAGTGAGAAAGGGTGTGTGTGTATGTGTGTCTGTGAGAGAGAAAGAGGTTGACCGATAAAGGGCTGGACGGGTCTTCCTATGAAATAATTTACGAGCGTCCGAAAATTTGTTCATTCAGAATCGCAAACTCGACGAATTACATCGGACGTTCACCGACGATAGGTCGGTGTCGCGCCAGAGAGGAGCGAGGTGGAATTACTTTACGATCCAATTAATCACTCCGGGTTAATCTCACCTAAGGGGACGCCTAAGGGTCTCCCCCTTAAATGAAACTCCGGATTTTTTCGGACGGCCCGGTTATGATTCTCAGGAGTAAATACGTAATACTGTACACGCGTACGTGAATATAAAGGCGGAAATTCGGACGGAGGCCTCTTGTTTCTCGCGAACACGTTTCGTGTGAAATTTGCCCCAGCTTCGAGAACTTGATTCCCAAGGGACAAGGTGAGAGATATTCTTTGTTCTATGGAAAGAACAAAGTATTTCTTTTTTTCATTAAATCGCGATTAATCTCGATCGACGCGAATTTGAATTTTATAAATTTGCGCGTTCGCGTGCAAATTTTTTCAGCAACAAAATAACGGAGCAACCACGATACGAAGGCAACAGATAGAATAATTGCGTATTAAGTAACTTTGAAATAGGTGTTTTTTCAAGAAAAATATGAAAATTTTTATTTGTGAAAAATCGTTAAAATTTCACTCGTTATTATAGATATAGGAATTAATTGAATATGAAATCCTGTGCAGGTTATTTATTTATATTATATATTAATGATAAATAAATAAATAAATAAATATATATATATATATATATATATATGAAACTGCTGCAGCCCGATCTATCCCGTGGTGAATATTGTAGTCTCGCTGGGATTGCAAGTGATCCAGTTGACAATTTTAATAGAGACAAACAGCGCTGTTTCATAAGCTCTTCTCTATAGATTGGACTATAAAAAAAACGTTCGACGTAGAATGACAAAATGGAAGCGAAAAAAAAACAAATATTATAGGAACGAAGTGATTTTATTGCAACGGAATTTAAATAAAAAAATATCTTTTGAACAGATTAGTTAGAAATGTAGAATATTTAATATTCTTCAATGAAGACAAAAACGTATCTCCATATTTTCGTTTTTGTTTTTGAGTTATGCCTGTAAAAAAAGCAGTAAATAAGGAAGTGACTAAAGTCGTATCACTTTAGGTATTTGTTAAATATTACTAATTTTTTTTAATGTTATTAATTTTCAAGTGTTGCTAAAATTCTAGATATTTTTAAGATGTTTATCTCACATAGAAACCACAATACAATCTGTTGAAGTTTCCGTTATGTATTTCATTGCCCATTTATTTTACATATATTTACCACTAGATCGCGCTTATATTCAATAATCATAGAAACAAGAATGATGAGATGCGATTTCGGTAACTGGTAATGCATAAGGCAGCTCTTCTCTACTTGCGGCATCAAAATAGCAACAATACCTTGCATAACGTCACACATCGCGATTCTCCATCGGTTCTTTCCGAAAAGAGTTCGATGTAGAACCAAAATTTCAGACCGAGTACTTTCGAAACTATCCGCTCGTTCAACGCGACATTACCGAAGACCTCGTCCCCGGAGAGCAAAAGGTATCGTTACGGTGACTCGTAAACTGGATCTGCCATCTGATAGTCGTAATAGCGTCTGCATACTGGCCGTGTTCTTTCATCTGATTGAAATTCGATAAGTTACCCGCGCCGGTTCGCAAAAAGTCAAGATAGAAATGCCCGCTCAAGCCCCATGACGGAACGCTTTTTGATGGAAATGAGACATTTTCGCCGTTCAAACCGTGTCTTCGCGTCGGAACAAAGAATCGCGACGATCGATACAGCATTGTTACGCAGTTCTCGCGCCAACAGAACCGCCGCTAACGTCGGACCAAAAACCGTTGCCATGTACGAGTTGACGTTCGCGTTCATTCGGGACTCGCGCAGAAATCGAGGGATTACGTTGAAGAGAGACGACTGAAAACTCCTCCCGGACACGCGATGCAGATGAATGAGCCGGATGCGGGGACTTCCAGGAGCCATCACTCGCAGGAGCAAGTTAGTCGCACCGCTCCCGCTTATTCGACCGTGTATTTTGATCGCGTCGAATCGCTGCAATCGCTCGATTCGCCGATTAACGATCGTTCAACGAGTGTGTCAGGAGTCCTATTCTAAACGAACGCTAAATATGCCCTTTCAATTCTAAGTTCTCTCGTTCTTTCTCCCTTGACACAAGCGTCACGTGTAACATAGTTTCAGCTTGAGAATCAGAAAGGTATGTCTCGCGTTCGATGCGCGTCCAGAATAGAAATCCGTCCAGGATCCGAGAATGAGAACAAAGTTCATCGAAGCAAATATACCCGTGACAGATTGTTGCTGGCAACATCCGTCGCGAGGAGCGGGACGGAACGTCGGCTAAGCGGGAAGTAATTAACGACTCTGGACCTGGAACATCACAGAGTGAGTCAATTAAATCGTCCCTTACGCACACCGTGTGTCTGTTCGCTCACCCGAGGCGAAATCACGTTTTTAACTGGAATCGTAACATTCACATCGATCGATCGTTCGCACTTTGTTATTCACTTCTCGTTGTTCCGCAGCGATGAAGGATACAGCGAAGTTTCTCAAGGAGAGAACGGAGAGATGTTAGCTGGAAAAAAATGAGATTCCGTTTTTAAATTTCCGCTTTCCCGTCGTCGAAGTTGCGAAACTCCGGCCGGGAGTTATTCTGTGATTTATCTTGCCGCAACATCTGCGCACCTTCACGATCTAAAGCGTGTCCCGTCTATGGCCGTGCGAGTGTAATTTCACGCGGCTCGTAGCTCCGAGCGCGATGACAAACGAGATTACTTTCGTTTGATCCACGTCGTTTCGCAAATCCACCGTCGTTTAGATTAATGCACCCGTTTTCCGCTCGCGAATCGCCTTTCAATCGCTGAAATCACCCGTCGGCCGCGAGCACCGTGCCACGGGCGGAACCGGTTATGAATCGGTGCGCCCGATCGCGAGTTACGGGTAGGGCAGTTATTTGCGAAGACCGGCTAATAAAAAGGGATCCTCCGCGTTGCGTCGACCTCGCGTATCGGATTGAACGTTTACGTGTCGCCGACGATGCGCATCCCGCACGCGCCCCGATTTAACACACTGCCAACCGATCGGGATAGATTTACACCTGCCTCGACGATCGTTGAGATTACGCTAACTTATCTCGAGATCGATTTCCTACGTCAGCATAAAATCTGCCGAATCTCTCGGAATCGTTCATCTCCGCGCGCCATTGACGAGACCGTATGCTTTTTGAAGCCTGATGAAGCGCAATCGGTTGACAGTGTGTTGACAGCGACATCATCTGTGCGATTCCTCACGGCGCCCCGCATGACCGATGTAACAATCGCCATGTATAATAGCCGTCATAACAACGCCTATCATCCCCGAAACGACGACGGATTCTGCCGGTACTCAGCAAGCCGTCCCGTCAGGATCAGGGGGATCGCCGAAATTAACCCGAACGATGTCGAGGACCGAAGCCGTTAGGCAGGACGTCAGGAGGCTGAAGAGTGTCACGTTAGGCAGAATGGGGAAGATATTTAAGACGCGCACGCCCGTCGTGGGAGGATCCGCCTTGGATGCCGTAAGTGATTCGGATATTCGAAGCGTCGTGTTCGGCAAACGTAAAGGGCTTCTGAGGGTACACACCGGCGCTCCGGTGAGAAAAGCTCATGATATATGAAGGAAGTTTGAATCCTGAGAGTGTCGGTGGCGCGGCGAGAACGTAACGCGGTCTCTCGGCTGCCTTCGTACATATATCGGCGCGGTTTCAGCTTACGTATGTCGAAATTCCTCCATCGTTGGCCACCGTAACGTGAAATCGATCGACCGGTGTCTCGATGCGCGATTAATGAAGTCGGTCGGCCGTGCTTTCGAAACTTAAACGCACGCTCTCTCGATTTTGGAGTCGCGATTTTGATCACACACTGCGCGCGAATACGACGGGAGGCGGTAAGTTTTAACGACTTTTGCGCGCATTTAACGCTCTCGGCTCTTTTATTCAGAATGTGACAAGCGTCGATAATTATGACGAAGAGCCATCAAGGAAAGAAAAGACAAACTCTTTAGGAAGGATACTTAAGCTCGTCGACAAAGACGGCTCGCCCAAGAAACTTTTTGTTCGTCCTCGGGCGGGGTCGCTGAGTCGTATACTACGTAGGCATCCTCATAATGAGGACAATGGGGTTATCGATAAGTCCGCGGAGGACACCGCGCGTGGAATTCTCTCCAGAATGCTCAGCCAACTGAGAGGAAAGTAAAGATTCAAAGAAACTTGTCCTTGCGGCCCTTTATCAGTAAGCGTCCACGTCCTGCTATCGAGGCATCTCGGGAGCAACGAGATTCCTCGAGAGTACGGACTAAATGATACTTTCTTTTGAAGATCCCCCGATCCTTTCGTTGGGGAAATATTGTATCGCAATATCTGTATTAGCGTTGCCATTTCTTTGATGCCACAAAGATACCGGGGAGACTGCAAACCGCTTAAACTGCTTATTGACATAAGCAGTTTGTTTACTTAATCTTATAATTACGATGCTGACTGCATCCGTGAAAAAGGGAAACGAATTGGATAATTTCCTTTCAACTGCAGGTCGCTCCGTGAATAAAACTGCTGCAACTGAGGCAAAATCACAGAAACGGGGCAAACACGAGTCTGCGTTATCAGCAAAAGCGCCGTTGAAATCGAAGACCGACGATCCACCGGTGTTGCCCAAGTCTGAAACATTGGCCGACGAAACACCCAAACTGGAATATTCTTATTGATCCTCTATAACTCTCTATTACTGTTAAAATTAAAGGGAACATTTTCCGACCTGTTTAAAACGTAATTAGAAATTGCGCGTCGATCAGAATAGTTAATTATATCGAGGCGACCAGTGAAAAATTAGATGTGCTTTACTAATAAAATCTTTCCCATTCGATTTCATTTACGTTTCGTCGATTTATTGAGCATGTTGTTTCGCCGAGATGGTTAAGGAGGACGTAATGAAGAGATAACGATTATATTGGAAGAGCCACGTTTATTATACAAGCGTGTCCCCCTCTCTTTCTCTCTCTCTCTCTCTCTCTGTTTCCTCTGTTTCCTGTATATTTGTATGTGATATTACGGGGCAACCTGTGCCCCTACATGCTTCTTTTCACGCTGTACAAATGTTCATTCTGTACTAATACGTATTACGACATTATGTGACAGAGATGATCGAACGAGTTTGCGAATCGCATCCAAGGTATAGTACGAGATTCTTGATTCGTAAAACTGTCCTCACGTATATCGGACTGTCCTCGCAGCCGGTATAAAATATATTTACAAAAGTTTTAACCTATATATATATATATAGTTTTAACCTATATATATATATATATATATATATATATATAGGTTAAAACTATATATATATATATATATGTATATATATACGCAGAGCGTGCGCTTGTGTCCGTAAACGTGGATTCTTTGTGAAAAACAGCGGCGAAACTTGGCAGAAGCAGCAATTTCTTGTCGCTTTTACTTTCAGATTGAGTTCAATTTGAATTTCACAAGGCAAATATAAGCCACGTATAAGCGTGTCACTTTTGCCGACGCAACCGTATGCGACCTTCCGCCGTTTGACAGCACCTCGCAGTCGATATACAGGTCGAACGAAACTCTTCCTTTCGCAGTTTCGCCGTTGTGCTTCGCGAAGAATCGCTCCTGAGGGCGAAGGTTTGCGAATAACCCCGACGTAAAACCTTAATGTAAAATTATGTACAATATCGCACCGCAGACATACGCTTCGACGCGTGATACACGTCTCAACATCTCGTTTTGCGATTTTTCTGGACTTCGAAGGTTGTTTCAACGGCAACGACCAACTCGTACGAATCACGAATTAACGCAGGCGATGCAGCGGTAAAAATCGATTTTCTCATTAATCCGTTCTGGAAGACCTGCCGCGTTTGTGCCCGACCGGTCTTTTGTTCCTCGTCCTTGATCGATGATCGTGATTATCACAGAATAAAGTAATACAAAACAATCCGAGCGCTCTAAGCTAAGTTCCGCGGATTTGGAGTTCAATCCACGCACTTTCCTTCCTCGACGTGACTTCGTCCTTAAATTAAAATTTAACAAGCGATACCTCTATCTCTCTCTTTCTCACTTTCACCATTCCTCCCTTAACAATGTATAACAGCGATCATGATTGCACAGAAAGCTACTTGATTTTCTGAAAGTTGAAGTAGACGTATAGCTTCCTCCGTATGTGTCTAAACGCAGGAGAGAGAATTACATTTCTCGTTGTACAGTGAATTATCTATCTCCACTTTTAGAGAGAAACGCAGAAATGCGTTCTTAAACTACTGATGATGCAGCCAACGCGTCCGAATCACGACTACATTGCTGCGAAAGATTTTAGTCCTATTAAATAGCATAGATGACAATTTTCGACATTAGTGTGACATTAGTGACAATATTGCAAACGATAGTTGTAATTAAGATTAAGAAAAAAAAAGGAGTAATCGATAATAAAATAGATAATATTTATAAGGCTTGGCTCTTAATATATAAGATTCTAATTATGTATATATGTATAATGTTCCATTCAACCAAGTCGTATCGCAACGTCATGTTACGGCGTTGAGAAATTGTACAAGATAGCAAATTGTTCGCGTACGACACTTATCGATACGTATCCCATAACGACGATATTATCTTCGAATTAAATAAAATACAACCTCGTATTCGGTACATGTATCTTAAAATACACCTATAAAAATGAAAAGTCGCAGTACGAATCAACGTGTAAATTTGTATCTCGCTCGTAAACGAGATGCTTCGATAATTTTTACACCGTACGACCGCTTTTGCAGTATAAAAGTACGATCGCAAAATTTGTCATCGAACGAACGTTAGTCTGAGTATTGCGAGGAATCATCGATCGTCGAATTATTTCAACAACAGGCATTTAGGTGCGTGCCAAAACTTGGATTGTGAACAATATTATGCGAAACTGCGAGATCGAAGTTACAAGTATCAATTAACGAAATTATATTGGAAATTCAATATCGTCCGCCGAACAAATTTAGCCTTCGCAAAGAAGAAGAAGAGAATCGATTATCTGCGACGCATGATGCGATCGATGTAAATGCTCGTCCAAAAATACAACAACATTGATGAACACGATTTCCTTTTGTTTATAATTTTATCACTTTGAAGAATCCGACGGGGGGGGGGGGATTCAATTAATCTTAATTACGAAAGTTTATCTACAGCATGTGTAACCAATTACATTCCACGACGCGCTGAGTATAAAATTAAGTACATATATTTGTATATCACCGCAAGAAAAACACACTGAATACTGTAAAAGTGACAATCCTATTCCTCAATTCGTCTTGCAGATGGTCGAGGAGATACTTGAAATTACGAAATCAAGAGCGTTACCTAGGTCGTCATCTATTATCTAGCATCATCTAAAACTGAGAAATCAAAATCGTCCGAATAGTTGTTTATATCTACTGCACAGTGTATAAAAATGTGTGTGTGTGTCAACGATCCTGTTACTTTATTTCTGCAAATAATTGAAGACACATTATTCCTCTACGGCGACCATGTAACGTATGTAACGATGATAGGGGTTAGCATATCGCTCCGTGACGGCTCCGATCGATTATCGATCAACCACATACACGCACGCACCACACCTATACGCATACGCACATATACATACGTACTGTGATTCCCTTCAAAAGTGATATGGCTTCTACGAAAATGCGAGTTTCTTGTTCCCACTGACATTGTTTCGCCCATCTCAGAAAGAAGGATCGATTAAAAGCTCCGTCTACAACCACGCCCGCTCATCCCTCCGATTTTCATTTCTAGGTAATTCGTTTACAATTCGCTCGTTAATGTTATTTACTTATTAAATCATCATCATCTAGCACGTCTAACACGGCTCTTGGACGGACGGTTTGCCACTCCGAACAATAACTCAACCGGCGCGATCATCGGGGAGGGGGGGGTCATTGTGCCTCACTTTCGCAACGGATCGCTCTTAAGTATCATCCGATGGGAGGACTGCTTCAATTTTGATAAGAAAAGACAAAAGAGTAATAGAAAGGACAAACGATTACGGCAACGTAGCTTCTTTTCCGTCTGTTCCGAAACGCGGAATATGAACAGAGTGTTATTGGTGGTGATCTCAGAGAAGTATCTGCGCGCATCGGCAGGAACCAAGAACACCAGTTTGTAATGTTACGTCTAGATAATTCGATCCACTCGAAATGATCTTATCAAAGACTCATTCGCGACAGACTCATTGCGGATGCGACGTGGTCCGAGGCCCCATCGCGACACAACCAGTGGAATATGCGACCTTGCACTTACGAGATACGATATGAGATAGACTTACATTTACCAACAACATTGCGCGCTTTTATCAGCTCCCCCGGAAACTGCTACCTACCAAGTAGATATATGTATGTATGTATATATGTATAGATATGTATACATGAGTCACACACTGATACAATACACAACGCGAGACATCGCGCTCGTTTGATTCGTAATCCCCCATACTAGTGGCAGCGTATTCAATTTGATATCGTCTTCTCGAGTTATCGTCTCCCTGCAGAGTCCCACTTTTTACACATTTCTGATATAATTATCACGGCCGCGTGAGACGCTATATTATATGTATATTTATATGTATTACACGGATTGAACACGCTTCTCTTCGATATGTAGACGTTAAAAGAATATAAAATATGCGCTCGCTCGTTGCTCCACAGGCGTAACGTTACTCTTCCCGACCTCAAACCGCCGATTTCTCCCATTGATCTTCGCTTCGCACGCGCGATCCGACTAATCCCCGTATTATCACCGTTATCTCGTACGCTCCTCCCTTCATCCGACAATTGAATCGCAATTTTTCCGGCTAGTGTTTCCCTTCCAAGGGAACTTGAAGAATCCAGGGGACTCAAGCACCTTTGGGAAAGGCGAGATCCATCGTCGTCTGCCGTTATCGTCATTCGTTATTCCTAACCAGCGTCCGAACCATCACATCCCCGACTCGGCTATCCCTTCGTCATCTGTAAAGCAACGGATTAAGTCAGAGACGATTCGTAACGCCTAAGCTGTCCCATTTGTCTTACACATTGCAATCCATGCTCGATGCAAGCCACATTGCAAGTTTTTTTGTAATTGCTGATAAATTGGTATCATTAAAGAAGCCGTTTGGTTTTGCTCTGTACGATATATATCTGACGGAAAAAAATGTGTGTATTCTACACACAGCGTAGTGTTAATTAAAAAGAAAATAGTTATGAAAAGATTATGTATACATTCGGGTCTTATCAAAACGATATGTCGAACTATTAATTGTATCAAGCGAAATTAGATAAAAGTTCGTTGCAAACGAATCTATTTGGTGATCGATGAATCTTGGCCGATGCAGTTATTCCTTCAAACGTTTCGATTGAAAATTATGAAATAATCAAGATGCGTGCGGACAGGCATTTCCGTTGCTGAACGTTACTGATGTTTAGTCAATCACGCGTATATTGTCCTCACACATGCACAGCACATACACACAGATTAATGCACAGATGCGTCGTATAATTTCTGTGACGTTCATTCTCATGCAGGGAAGAAGAAAAGCGACCAGCGAAATTACCGTCGACGCAGGAGTCACTGTTTGAGGGTCACCTTTCCTTCTCATCCTCGGCGGGACTCTTAGTGTTTTCGACCGAGCTTCGATTCTTGCCTGAATACAAAGGTCGCAAAAGATTGCAGAGAGGAAGGTGTGAGTTACCGGGTGAAAGGAAGTGACACCGTTTTACAAAAGAGGGCCAGCTATCGTCGTCAAACGTGGGACCAAGTAACGCGTGCTTCTAACAACCGCCCACAACCATACCGCCACCATCGCTAATCGAATCGTTCTCTTTATATATCACACTGTTTCTTCGAGTTTTATAAAACATACCATTTGTTTTTTCACTGACGAGGGAACATGTGACGAATTGCATATTTTCCATCGAGACTTCCGCCAATACATGCACTACGATCAACTCTTTGTCAACTTTTCAATTCTTCAACAGCTAGTGCTTCAATTACCTATCGGGATTGCGCGGTGATTGTCTAAGCCACACTTCGTGTCACTGATTAACCAACTCGTCCCGCAACCGCTTTCAATTAACTCAAGGTCTTTTTTTCTCCGACAGCATTATTATTGTCTGTCTGAACGTACCTTCGAATCCCTGATTGTCATGTATCTCTCGCGGTGGTCCAGTAGTATCTTGGCCCTCCAAGACGGCCAAGAGGCATTGGTGGATGCAGATGTACTGTTGCTCCGTCTGGACCATCCAGACCCGCTCCTTTCTCATCGCCCAGACGATCCCGAAGATGTCGACGTACTTCGATACCAATATCTGCTGCAATATTCTATCGAGAGTGATGAAGGTGCCGCTGCGACCCACACCAGCGCTGCAATGGACGACTATGGGCCTCTGATCGGGCCTGACTCGTTCCCTGAACGCTCGCACGAACCTAGCCAGGGTTTGGGGTGGACTAGGGACGCCAAAGTCCGGCCAGGTAGTGAAATGGAAGTGCTGGATTACTCTCTTTACGTCGCCCTGCCGCAAGGAACATCAGATCTCAACAGAAGGATGAAAAAACCGGGCCGACATTCAAGTGCAATCTGACGAAACTGTTCTGACAAACAACGTCGGCTGGAATTGAGCGTGACAGGAAGACCGTGCAACCACTTACTCGGCATAACATGAATTCCGTGATACTCCAATCCGGATAATGCGTCTCGTTCAGTATCGTGACGCAAATATCACCATAATACACAGGTAAAGTGTCCATCGGCCAGTAATGGTCACACTTTTCTCTTCCCTTCTCGATACACCTAGTCAGCATTACGATCGCTCTGCTGTTGCTCTCCCATACCATCCGCCAGAAGTCGTCTCGAGTCGAATGCAACGGGCCTTGAGTCACGATAAACTCCCGTGGCGAATTGTGACCCTGTGACATCGCAAAAACATGTCAGATTACACGTTCATCAGTAGATTTCCATATTCGGCTATTCTTATGGAAGGCAAATTCTACATACCGGAACGTAATTGGCGTTGATGTAATCGGAGCCTTCTTCATCGTCGACAGGTTGGAGCTTAAATCTACTGTGGTCGTACGGGAGAATATTCGTGAAGCGATTCTTCGGCCTGTTGCAGGGCAAGTCAGCCGCGGTACACGGCTGGTCCCTCCCGACGTGCTTCAGCTCCTCGAATTCTTCCGAAAACCGGAAGTCAGAGTCCGCTGACATGGTGCGATAGTGCTCGGCAAAGTCCTCGACTTTGATAGGCCGGCTGAAGCATGCCAATAATTACCACGCTGTATTACTCTCCGATTGCAGTTATATAAGTCTCGTTTCGAAAAGAAAATCAAGCCGGAAAATTATTCTCGGCGAAGGTGCAAATTGAAAGTCGAGGAAATCGTGAAGGAAAATTTACTGAAAAAAAAGTCGTTTATCGTTGTTATTATTTTTGGGTTAAGAGAAGAAAAGGATCAAGTCGAGAGCCGGAAATGGTTATAATTTTCGTGGGATTTCTCTTAGTGCGCACACGGCAATTATTCCATAAATAATAATGACCGTTACGATCTCAATTCGAAAACTGAAACGCCGGTCACCTGGTCTCAATGACGCTATCAGGCAACGACAGATTGTCAGTCGCCCTGGTTTCTGTCGTCTTGCGGCCCTGACTTCTTCTTCTTCTCACAAACAGTCCGATGCCTAGGAGGCCCAGCAGCACCGCTATGGCGACGACGACACCGACTATGATGGCCGTGTTGTCCTTATCTGTTCGACACGCACGGCGAATTTTGAGTCATTATACAATGAGCATCGGATATCGGAGCGATCACGTTGATTACACAGGCATGTTCTTCAAAGCGATAGATACGTATCTCGCGGACGTAGATAAGACTTTGAACTCTCAATTGCGAGGTCTTACCTGCCAGCAGCAATCCTTGGGCAGACATGTACACGAAATAACGAGGCATGAATTTAGCGAGGCTTTCACTACATGCGCAGTGTGCCTCTAGAATCTCACGTCGCACCTGACACGTGGTCGGTGTTGCTCGAAGTTATTTGTTCCGATCAACTATGTATATATTTGCCAAAGTTACGTTGCTCGGGCCCGCGTTAACAGTCGTCACTCGAAACTTGAACATATGGGATGTTCGAATCCGAATACAAAGTTGGACACTGAGCTTCTTAGTTGAATTCTACGATACACGTGACGTTAGATTTGTAATCATGATTCAACTGAAAAATCCCCACTTGCATTTAATTCTAAAGCCGGTATTAATAGTTGTCACGTGAAATTTGTCTCAGATGAGACACTCGGACCTGAATTCAGAATTGGATGCAAGTTTTATCAGTTTAACAGTGTTCGCAAATATAATATGTCAAATATGTCATTCAAGTGGAAATCTCCGATCCAACTTCGAATCCAAGTCCGAGCATCTTACATGAGACGAGTTTCAAGTGACAACTATTAATACGGGCCTAAGTTGAAGTCTGAATATCTCACTCGAGATGAGTTTTAAGTAATACGTCTATTAATACGAGCCTTAGACTCTTTTCATTCGCAACCGTAACGAAAGAGAATTCGGATGCGTTAAGCCGGGGACGGACATGCGACTCTCGTTGCGTCTTGAGACATTTCACGCGATCGCTCTCACCTGTTTGAATGGGGAAGCTGTAGCTGGTGTCCGTGAATTTATCCGGCGCCGTGAACGCGCGCACCTTCACCCGATAGGTAGACCCTGACTTCAACGGTCCGTTGCAATAACCGATCTTTTTGTTGTCGCAATTCTCAGACCCGATCGTGAAGTCCTCCACGGATCCGTTTTTGAAGGGGTAATACGGCTCCATCACCTAAAATTTTTTATCGTACAAAACAACTGTTTTTTTCGTTCCTCTCCAAGTAATCACGTATAGAAAGCGTGCGAATATCATCGCGATGGGCACCTGCGTGAATATTTTCCCGACTTTCGAAATTATATTATTCAAAAGATCCATCGTCGAAACTTCGATTCACGACAATTTTCCCGGCACTCCGCACACGATAAATGATATTTTTGTATTTGTTGCGCAGTGTTTACTTCATGCGGCTCGTTAACATTAACATCACCGATGATATCACCCGAAGGATCGCCGGCAGGAAACTGAGCCAATTAGTTCAACATGATATCCGCCGAACAATCCGCCCGTTGATATCGGTGACGAAATATCCCGCACCTATGTTCCGAAATACATTACGTAATCAATACCATACATCGCTCCTTCGTGATCATTTCGCGATATTACGCGCGTTATTAGATAAAGGCCCGATGCAACACTGGAGATCCGTCCGTACGTTATCGGAGATGCGAAAAATTGTACAACACGTTTGGAAACTCGCATGAGTTTCAAGTTCCTCGACGCCGTTCTCCGGCAAATTTTGAAACTCGGACGCGCGACTGAGAAATCCTGGGGAACCTTCTCGCGATTGAACTTTCCGAAGTGTTCACATCTTCGCTTTCGCAGCACTAGATCGCAACTAGATTATGCGTATCCTTCGGCCTACAGCTCGGCAGCTCGGCGCGTAATACGTTGATCGCGGCCCGCGGGCGTTTATGCGTGATCGCGGATCTACGTAATGACGCGTCGTTTTACGAGCGAAGAGCGTTCGTGATCTAGCAAGTTAACGAGCCGCATGGAATAATTTACTGAATCAATTATCTTAAACGGTCTGTCCCGCTGCCTAGCCTTTCGGCGCACTCAGTGCGCCGGGTTCAAATTGGCGTTACTGATCGTCGCAAGGAGGAAGCTGCACGCGTATTCGTTCAACCACTGCTGGAGTTTAATATCGCGCCTGTCTCGTAAGCTTCTTTTTACGCAACATACGTGAGATTTGCCGGTGATCGTTCGTTCCGGAAAGCAATATGAAACTCTTTATCCGGATATCTAAATTTCTAATTTCGCGGAAACCTATCCTGCAATTATATTCAAGTTTCTCATTTCCTATAGTTGCACATATCGAAATCTCTCATTTTTCAAATATGACCTACAGTTACGTATAAATTAGTGCATTTAGTATTACTGCGTGATAAATAACGAATTAATAAATATTGTATGTTAATTGCTGTATAATGAATACTGTATAATAGACATCACCTGATAAGGCGGCCAAATACTGTAGGCCTGGACATCCCTCCAACTCGGCATTTCCAACCCCGAAGCATTCTTGCTGTCGTCCTCCGCGACAACGACAGTGTACGACGTGACCGCTCCGTTCTGCTCGCTGAAGTAATTCTTCCTGAATCGAATTTGAATGGTCGTGCTGCTCCTGCAAACCTCGGTTGGCACCACCTGCGTCGGCGGTTTCGGCGGCGCTAATATCGGCATTTTCTGCCTCCAGATCGCCTCAAGACCGAAGCCGATCCTCGTCTCCGCTTGGATCCGGAAGATGTAGGTTTTGCCCGGTATGAGAGACTTGATGACCCCGCGGAATTCGCTCGGCTTGAAATCCTGCATCTGCGTGTGGGTCGAACCCTGATGGAACCACAAGGATATCCGTGTAATTCAAAGTGCGCGATACAACGCGGAGAAATGAATCGAAATAGCATTGCCTGCGGTTTGTAAAACAAATCGATTTCTATAGGAAGAAAACTCACTTCTAGTCCATACGTGATGCTGAACTTCCTGATGATGCCATTTTGTTCCTGGCTTGGCAGCGACCACACGAAGCTGATGTCACTCGGCTGGATGTCGGTGGGCTGGAACTTCTCCACTCTTCCTGGATAGGACTCCCTCGTGGTGAAACTGGCGCTGAGCGGATTCGAGACCCTCAAGTAAGAGGATTCTGTGCCCGAACGTACAACCAACGTGAACGTATAATTTCTATGCGGCTTGAGATCAAAAATGGTGATCACGTTAACCGAGGTTAAATTTTGTATGTAGTTGCCTTCCGTGTTTATGTACTGCACTTCGAAGGCATCGTACTCTCCGTGCGGCACATCCCAAGTCAAAGTGATCTTCGTATCATTTATCTCGCTAGCATGAATCGCAGTGATCGGTTCGGGATCTAAAAATCACATTTATCTTCGAGCTAGCAGAGATAGCGATAATGCGGCGTATACAACGTGTACTATTGAGAAAACGATTGAGCGTGAAAATCGAGAGAGATCATTGTTAATACAAATAGGTAACAACACGACAATAACATATACATATAAGTATTGGAGAAACGACGGGTATTGCATCGAAATATTGTCGGCACGTATGACACACGACGTATATATTTCCTCGAAGACATCATTTTCATTTAATTCCTCACTGCGATCTTTCCACAAGTACCACACTTGTACTTTGTGTGTGTGTGTGTGTGTGTGTGTGTGTGTGAAGTTGCGATAACATCGCGATGTTACATCATAAGATAAATAATATATACAGGCGATATTTCAAGAATACACAATGATCCACACAATTGAGTGGATTATCTCTGCGAGATAATTCGTACGGTCCTTTAGTACGTTACGTTTAATGCACACAAATGTGATTCACACTCAAGACTCAAACCTCTGATTTCGAGGGACTTCGAACGAAGCGGACACACCGGTTCACACGTGTTCACCGACAAAATCGCGAGGCGAGCGCCTATAGAAAGAATTATCGCTCCTGATTCTCGCAACGCCAACGTGAATACTCACAGAGTCTGTCCTGCCGCAGGAGAGGTCTGCTCTCCACATTATCGCTTACTGTCCACACGGTCACGTTGTACAGTTTGCCAGGTGTTAATCCGACAAATGTCACCTTGGTGTCGGTGTCCTCCACCTTGCGCTCTTCCGTGGTATTATTCGCATCGCTAATCCTGAACCGGTAGAGATCGAACCTCGATGACTGAATCGGCGTCGGCGTGTATATCAACGTCAAGGAGCCCGGTTGATCGCGATCGACCACTACGACCACCTCGGACTGGATCAGCGGCACTAAATTTCAAAGTTTCGTGTTTGTTTGCCAAGTTACGACTGGACCTACCGACATTTCCTTACGCCCGTCAGCCATCGAACGAAATCGCCTAGCCCGGCAATGCATTGAGATGTTAGATAGAGAGACAGAAAGAGAAAGAGAGAGAAAGAGAGAAATATGATATAATAGAAGCAAACACACGACGAGAACCGGACGGAGATTAGTGACCGGAAGATAAGAACTTGTGGATGTATCACGTGTATTTGTTAGCACTCATGCTCAGGCGAAATTCGTTAGTGAACTGTCAAACAGCGAAACGTAATGGATAGCGCGGATAACGAGATCCCCCCTCCCGCCCCTCCACGTTATCGCTGATAACGCGAACAAACCCGGTTGTACTCACTCGTCCTTGTAGTCAGATTACTGATGTCGCTGACCAAATCGTAGGAGACCGTGTAGACGACGAAGAAGTATTCCACTCCGGGCATCAGGTCACCCACCAGAACTTTCTCGGTGTGCACAGCGTTCTCCTCGAAATTGACGCCGGACACGTCGTTACTCCCGCTGACGTTCTTCGTCCTGGAGTCTTCCGAGTTCTCCACCGGCCACCATCTTATGACGTAGACCTCGATGCGGCCTTCCGGCCGCGGCCACTCGAGAGTCACGTTGGTGGAGTCGATGATCGGCGTGATGTTCAGAACCGGATTGGGTCCTGATGACGAGAGAACTCTTTAGAATACGAGTTTCGGATGATAAATCGCCGATCGTAGCTCTGGCTAATTCGAATAATCGCCGGGTGATAAATCGACGATACACTTACTGACTGTGTGGTTCACTTGCAACGGATACAGACTCTCGACGCCGTAGCTGACGGTGTTCACCTGTATGGTGTACCTCTCGCCCGGTGTCATGTCCGCCACTTCCGCCTCCGTGTCGCGAACGCTGGGCAGCTTCACCCACCTGGGATCGTCCTCCGTGCGATACTTGATGGAGTATTCGGTGAATATCGAGTCGGTCGGCGCCTCCCAATGCACGACGATGGTATTGCTCGTGACCTTCTCGATGCTGAGATTCTTCGGTGGATGGGGCACTGTTAAATACGTCGATAAATCAAGCGAACGCGCGAGGCAGGTGTCAGATAACGGGAGATAATGCACCGGAAGGATTGACAATTAGCACTCACAGACGGCTTGTAGATAGTCGTGCGGCTCGCTTCGGAGTCCATGACTAATGGCGAAGACCTTGACCTCGTACGCCGCGCCGGGATAAAGATCTTCCAAGACAATGTGCGACTCCGTAGTGAGGGTGGTGGCGCTTTCTCCGGTGTCGTTCCTGTTGTGGGTCACCTCGAATTTCTCCTGCTTGGAATTGACGTCGCTCTTCCAGGAGATGTTCAAGCCCTTCTCGATCGGTTTCAGATCCTCGATTATAGGACTGGCGGGCCGAGTCGCTTGATACAGAACGGTTTCGTTCGACTCGATCTTATTGCTGATCGCTTGTACTATGATGGAATAATTCCTCCCAGGCAAAAGAGCCTCCAGAGTGACCTATCGATTTAACAAACGTGTCTTATATATATATATATATGCGTGACACGGTCGACCTCGCAGCCCGTCACGCGTGCACTCGGCGCGAGACACTGCCGATTTCGGTGAATCGTTATTTACCGAAAACGCTCACCTTCGTTTTATCGGTGGTCAAAGTGTTGCTGTCGCCACCGATCGTTGTTTCCACCTCGTGGTATTGCAACTTGTAGCTGTCTTGCGTGCTGGAGTTCTCCGGGCTCCAGGAAACTTCCACCATACCGGTCCTCTCATCGATCACAGCCCTGAGGTCGCGAACAGGCAACGGCTCTGCGGACGTGGGAAAGGATCATTATAGAGTCATAAATAATCACGAGCATCGCTACTTTCCGGAAGTATGGTGCTAAATTGAGAGCGAAGATCGCGTCAAGTGGACACGTACTCAAAGTAACGTCCCCGCTGGCGGGCCAGCTGGTAACCTTGCCAGAAACCGTCTTCACGACAACCTGGTACGTCTTGCCGGGCTCCAAGTCTTTGAACTCCCATCTGCTCTCGTCGTCTCGATTTCGCGTGACCGGCGTCAGCCTGCGATTGCTACCGAGCGATATTTGATACTTGTCGAACTCGGACGTGCCGTTCGGAGGGTTCCAAAATACGCGGAAGGAAGTCGACGTCACGGAGGACTTGTCGAAGGTCACGTTGAGAGGACGTAACGGTACCGTGCGGTATTGGGCGGTGGTGGGCGCGGACGTCTCATCCTCGGAGACGGTCTGCACGGAAATGTTGTAGGCCCTTCCTGTAATCGGAGGACCGACTTGAAGGGACGAAGCGGATTTAGTTGCGGCAGATCCTACGGAGAATTCCGGTTCTTCGTCGTTTTCGTCGTGTTCTTTACAACTTTGCGCCGACACATCTGTATTTTATAAACCTCCCTCGAGTTCTTTCGGCACAAAGCACGCGCGATTAGATTTTTCACTTGTCCCCGACTTCGTCTTATTTTATGTTTCCGCGCTACCGCGAACTTTCCTATTTCTTTCTACCTCGAAACGTCAACGACACTGGCCGCTAGTTGCTACGCACCTGTTCACTCAGGCATTTCACAAACCATTACTCGAAGGTGTTAACCCACCACGGTTGGGTCCGATCTAATCTAATCTAATTTGACTCGATATTCGGTGTGTCGGGCATTCCTGCACCGACCGAGGAAAGCTCGCCCGACCGCCTTATCCGCCTCAAAGTAGTTTCATTATGGATTTTTGCACCGTGGCGGGTTTTTTCTCATTGCACAACTTACTTGCTGCTTTCGAAGGAAACGCCGCAGATACCGAGCTGTGATAACGAGTAATGAATTCCGTTGCACTTGTATAACCGACCGAATCGAAAGTCCAACGTCGAACGTAGGAAACGGAACGGAGTTCGACGACAGGGGGGGAGGGGGGGAGAGAAGGGGAATTAAGTTAGATCACAATGACCGCTTTTGCTCGTCTCGCGATTCGCGAATTGCTCTATTTGTAACGCACGCATACTTTCTCCCCGGCAATCCCGGCTGCAGCAGTTCCGCTAGAAAAAAAAACGAGAACGACAACGCCAGCGGCGTTTGATCTCGGTTTCGCTTAGCACGCGCTGACGTATTTCGCGACGCATACAATACGCGTATAATTTATCCGTAACTCGCATATACATATATATATATATATATATATATATGTATGCGGGCCCGCTTTACGCAACGTAATTCGGCGTCATTCGCCGTGCGTTCGTTAGCTGGACATTATGCGCGCGGTAATAACACGGCGGCAAAACGGCTGACCTGGAACGAGTCCTTTGAAAGCTGCCTGCGCAGGACCAGGTGGCTCGCCTTCTTTCTCCACGTAGAGAACGGATTCTATGGCGTCCGGTGGATCTATACTGACTTTGTAATGCGTGTAAATCCCGGCGGGATACGGCGGCTGCCACAGCACCAGCAGCGTCGTCTCGTTTCGGAACCAGACGATGAACTTGCCCGGGGTGTTCGGCTCTGCAAGTGACTCAACGTTAGACGAGGTGTGTCGAGAAGCGTCCCCGACTTCTCGCTCTCTTGGAGGTTTACATACTCGTGGTGAAATTCCGGCTGGTGTAAGCGACGCTTTCTTTGGCGTCCAGCACGGTGAAGAGCTGGAGCGAGTACGTGGCACCGGGCGTGAGATCCCGGAGAGTGTAGGGCACCGAGTCGACGGGGATGACGCTGGTTTTCGGATTTCCGGTGTCGCTGAAGCTCTGCGTCCGCAGCCGGAAACCGGAATAATTCCCCTGCGCCGGAGGCGACCAATAGACGATCGCGGTTTTCCCATTTCGCACCGAGATCGTCAAGTTCGAAGGGGGGTCGGGCGCTGGGGATGAGGAGAATCGTTTCGACGGCTTCCGGTGAAAATTTCCCTCGCGTATCGACGACCGCCCAATAAACGCCAACCATTAGTCACGTAACAATGTTATCACCTCCCGCTCGACAATGCGACTGTTTACATAACGCACGCGTTATACCCACATTTTTACGTTGCCGAGCTGGGAAATTATGACACTGACGTTGTGTTACTGTTAGTTGATGGTTTATCGCACGGAAAAGAATTATACTCAAATCAATGATAGATATTCTCCATACATAAGCAAGAATATTCAAATTATCTCGAAAGATTTTCAGTCTTGACTTGAGTTAAATTCGTGTCGATGCAAGAGTTACCCGCGCTCAATTCAAGAAACTCAAAATCTTCTATTAAATGAGAACGTCGATCATCGATTTGAGACGATTTCTTTTCCGGATGAGCAGTCGCAGCTTTCAATCGCACGCGGCCGATTATATATTCAACTGTCGTTTAAAGAATTTACCAAAAATGTTACGATGTTGAAATGTTAAGATTTACCAAAAATGTTGAAAATGTTAAGAGATAAGTGTAATAAGCGAAAGTATTCGAACGATAAGATGTTGTGTCGACTCGAATAGCCGAAGAATGCTAAAGCGTTGGGAGACTTTTTCGAAAATATCGCTCGCATCTGAAAAGAACGCTATTAATTGACCCGTAGTTTCGAGCATGTTGCTTAATCATACGGAATGTTATTCACAATACATATACGTACAGCGGATTCTATTTTACTCTGCTCTAATCTATCTCAAATAAATCGATCATCGCTCAACAGCGATGTGGACTACACACGTGTCGTGATCGACGCTGTCCACGTCAGCCAATCGTGGAGAGTGCTGTTGCTGTAGTACAACCAATATTCGTATTTTGTCCCAGGCAGACCGTCCCTGAACTTTATGACATCACCGATCTCGGTAGCGGCTATAGTGGTGTTCGGCGGTGGCGAGCCGACGGGTGGGCTGTAATCCAAACGGTACCAGGAGCCATCCTGGCTGAGATTGCCTGGTATCTCGATCGCGAGATCAGCCGAATACGTGACCTACAGACGAAACACACAGGAACGGTGACGTTAATTGACGGTAATTAGCACGGATCAACGTTCGCTCGTGATTATCCAATCCGCGGCAATGCAAAATTCACACGTCGAGAGCGTCCGATATCCCAAGTCGGAATTTCGATGCTACTTCGACGCCCTTAAGAATAGTTCGCGTCTGCTTAATTAGCCTGTGGACGAATAAAAATCGATTTTCCGTCTCACCTCCTCTCGTAAACTTTCAATTCTGCAGATTTAATTTTAACGCTACCTCGAGACGCTGCGTCGACGCTGGGATGACGCGAAAACGGAAATTTGAGACATCACCAGGCCCGAAGTGGGAATGAGCGATATTATTAGAATCGAAAATGAGCCCGTTTTGCTGCCTCAGCTCACACTGTGTTAGAGAATTAAAGGTTTAACGTGAGGTCGGGACTTCGACTTGGAATACGCCCCGTTGAATGCCGACAAGTAATTCACAGGTACGCGCTCTCCCACGTGCGGTAAGTCGGTTAATCAACTGATCCGCGCGCGTTGAGAGCCCGGCCGCATGTTTGCATCTGGAATCGAATCGCACGGTGCCCTCTTACGCTAAGGTGCACGGCCGCGTGGGAATATGCGTACGCCTAACTGTTTCAGACGACAATGTTGAATTTCAGATTCATCTCGGCACTTGCGCGAGCGCGCCCGCTCCCACGGTCGCGCGCAATATTGTGATCCGCGGGGATCCGTGTTGGTGAGGACCCGTTATAAATCAGCGGCGTATCTTGAATTTCAAGGTTCCAGCGTCCTCGAGGATGATCGAGAGAGACTCGTGAAGCTCGAGAGATGAGGATCGGAGAGCTCGAGCGGAGTCTTATCTGTTGTGCCACCGACAAAGGTCCGCGTGTTTCCTCACCGATCGACTGTTGATTTTAATATTTATGCCGACGTTATTAGAGAGCGACTCGACTCGCCAAGTGTTCTCGGGGGATTTCATCGCGGGGTGTACTGATAATGATTCCGCTACGATACGAATGTATTCTCTCTCTCTCGTCGATGTCTCGCCTCGCGTACGATCCGCACGATATGAAGCAACCTTAACTTCGTGGGCAACGTTTAACGAGGCTCACGACCTCCGTTCGACGCTTCTCGCTTTCTCCGTCGCGAAATTTCGCTATTAACTTGCCAGCCACTTACATCAAACGTTTTCATTTACCTCTCCATCTACGACGGCGAATCTACGGCGAGGCGATTATCCGGTCGTTAAACCGGTCGATGTAAAAAATTCCCATACGTCCACGCAGGTTTTTACAACACGCGAATTTGCATACGCACACTTTATCCGAAAGGCGTCCTCTGAATGTCTTCAGAACGGCCCGTGGAAGTGCGTGCGGATAAGTTTGCAGCTTGACGCGTCGATCGTATTATTCTGTAATATATGTCACCTTATCGAGTTTTTCGCGCAACGTTGCGACATCACTCGAGACCTTGCTGAATCGGACCGGAGAATCGACCGATTCGCGGCTATCCAGAGAACGTCTTGGCTCGAGGAAGACGGAGGACGGAGAGATCGGAGAAGCGGTTATCAATGAGAAACGGAACGACACGTCGATTTGCGTTCGGGATGGGTTGTACTCGCTTGTAGCTTCACGTAGCTACGAATTCTGATCAATTACGGACGGCGTATGTGCGTGACGTGCCGGAAGCAGCCCGGCGGATCTGTAACACACCATCGGTGACGTGTAACACGCGCGTTCTGCGACGGACAGCAAATACATCAGGCATGAACACCATCTCGCGCGTACACACCGTGTGCGCCGCCGAGACACGGGGTAGGAACGGATCGCGGCGATATTTTAATTACGCCGAGGGGGGAGGGGAATTTTCAAACGAGAATCGGCTCGACGATTCCGAGCAATTCGAGCAGCGTCGGCGTGAACCTCGCTCGCTAACACGACGTTCATTCGTACGTGCGAGCGGCAAAGTCGCTCTTCCTACATCCGCTCGAGACGGTGAAGTGCATATTGATCCCTGTTCTATCTCCCTCCGTTCCTTCGCGACGTCCCTTTTCCCACCCCTCCCTTTCGCCTCTCTCGATCCCACCACCCACGGACTGCCTATCTCCCGGTGGCCGCCGCCGCGTGGACGACGACAGGAACTCCTAATTGTACAAAGAAGGGCTGAATAGCTCGCCGGTGGGTTCGCCGGCGAGAGAATCGGAAAATGCGAGGCTGGTGTGAGGCATGCGAGAATTTCATTTGCCCGACGAAGGGAGGCTGGGAAGAGGGAACGAATTCAAGCCGCGCCGCGGTTGGAATTATTCGCCGCGCGCACTGTCGGCGATTAAGCGCAGCTGCTCGACAACACGGTGATTCGTCTGCAAAAACGGCGCGGAATGCTGCGGAGTGATCGGAAGAGATTCCGCCCGAGAAGATTTAATAAGAAGATAAGCTCGTGCGTTTTTTTTCTTCTCTCTCCCGGCGAAGTTACTTTCTACGATTTTCGCTACGATCTCAAGTCCGCCGCGGGCCGCGTTGAGAGCCCCGTTTAATGTTTAATCGCCACTTCCCGATCGTCGAAATTTGGATGTTATTCTAACGCTCTTGAGGATACTTCGCCTTTGTTCAGATGGCCTATAGAACTAAGAAAAAACTAGGTTTGACGATATTGACCGTTTATTAACTTCTCTTTCGCGTCTTTAATTCTACAGATTGAATTTTCACGCTACAACGCTGACAACGCTATTTTGAGGCGAAAACGGCGGAAACGGAGATTTCAGACAACATCCGGTTCATAGGTAGGAGTAAAACTTACATTATTAGAATTAAACCGGTTGGTTTGGGAGCCGTGCGAGCAACAAGCGGATACGAGCCGACAAAGTTCCCGGAGATCTGCGTCATTCAAGGGGAAAAAAATTATTCACAGATGTAACTCAAGCCGCCATCACGCGATCTTGTGACGCACGGCGCGGCTCGCCGTGTGTAATAAAATCCTGAAACGAGGCGGGTCGGCTGCGTTCGCACGAGGTTCGAGTAGTTAAGTCGTCGCCAGAAGGAAAAATATTCCGCCGACTCATCGATCCCGATAGCGATCTCGGTGATCGGAAACAGCGTCTGTCGAGCATGCATGAAGTACGCGTAGCGGCGGAGCGCACGTTCGGGGACGACCGCGCCTCACTTCCGGTTGACCGCGCTTCGCGTGCTTCCGACCTCAGGCGGTTTCGTCCGCGTTCAATGCGTGTGGAAGTAGGTAGAGAGGTGGAAGCGATGTGTCCGTGACACTCCGTTAGTGATACGTCCATGACACTTCGTGACGCGCCACGTCCGTCACCCTTTCTGTGATCCGCATTGGTATCCTGTTATTAGAGCATTAAACGAGTTTCACTCTCTCCGGGTCTTTTTTAACCGCGCTACGGACAGCTCGTACGCGTCCCGTAGATATAGAAACTTGCACGTCTCGAGAACGCGAGATTGATCCAGAACAATCCTCCCGGTCGTAGAACGTATCATTGATTCTCCCGTGTGTCGTGTGACCGACACTGGGATAATCAAGGAAGAGATCCGTTTTTCGCAGCCGGTACAGTTTTACAGGTAGTCGTTGCATCCAAGTATCTGGGTATCTGTCCGATACTCAAACCCGCAGATACTACCCGGATATCCGAGTCCAAATTTTCATGCTACTTTCACGCTCTTAAGTGTATCCTGAGGTCCCGTTTCATTGCAAATATGTTAGTGCTATACTCGTCACTCGCTGCACAGAATTAGAAATCCCACAGAATTAGAAAAAAGTTTTACAATTTGTTAACTATTTTCCGTGTCTCGAATAAAGCCAACCGTCCTCGCCTACGTTAACGCCTGTATCGTAATTGTGTGAAAGGATTTTTAATTCTGCGCAACCAGTATAGTACTAATAAATAGAACGGCTTCAGGATCCTCTTAAGGAGTTCGCGTCTACTTAGAGAGCACCTACGGACTAATTAAAACTTACTCTTTGACGATACTAAAATCCTTAGTAATTTCTCTTGGGGACCTTCAATTCTACAGATTTAATTTTCATGCCATCTTGAACAATTTGTTTTGACGCTAAAACAGGAAAAACGAAAATTTCAGATACATTATCAGACCCGAATAATTTATATTATTAGAACTGAAACTGAACGTATTTTGCTATCTTAGCTCCTACTGTGTTGTACGGTTAAAAGTTTAAGACCAAAATTTCGACCCGGGTACACGGGTGTTGCTCGAAATAACCTAACACCCGGATATCCTAAAAATATCGGAAAGATCCGGTGTCTGGTTAATATCCGAGTGTTCGAATATCCGGATGCGGATAGCATTATTTAGAAAATACTGATACTATTTCGGAAATCCCATGATTATATGACGCGTGACAACCATATCATTGATCACAAGCGAGGCAGTCGCTCACGATTTTAATAAAATAAGTACCCCCGAGTACAATGAATCACGCTTATCCCTCTTCCGGTGCATTACGTCGATATAGAAATTGGTGGTGTGGAGGCTGCATCCTCTATTACGTTCGTATCATTCAATATCGTGCAACATTTTTATCTCGATATATCGCCATTACTTTTCACTTAAGAGTCTCCCTCCAGCGGACAGCGCTGTGGATACAAAAAGGAGGTCGTTAGAAACTCCACCTGCCACTGTTTGATTCCGGCCTCGCATTTTGATTTACTATAAATCAGTCGAGATACATTTTTCTAGCGAATAACAGTACAAGTTGATCGCCGGCTAGCAACGAGAATTCAATATTCTCTTTGTCTCGATGAGCTCCGTAGGCAGGACCAAAGGAACAAATATGCATTCTGGTTCACGCACGAGTCCCGAATCTGTAAATAGGCGAGACCGTAGTCGTGCGTAGAATGCCAGGAAGGTGGACGTGTCTCGGAAAAGAATTCCGGACCCGCCCGTGCGCAAACAATGCCGAGAACAAAATAGACGTCACGGGAGTGGCCTTAGGGTGGCTTAAAAACGAGCGGAGGAGAGGTCACCATCCAAACC